TTATTACTCAGATTGATAGCTAATTGAAAATATAGAAGTCTATATACCTGTAAATAGATTATTACCGATAGTTTAGTTATAGTTAATTTTGTTAGTTCATATAATACTATTATATATCTTATATAATTTTGTAAATAGTTTTTAAAATTATTTTCTGTATACTTTTTCGCATGCCCCTGGTGGAAATCAACTTCGGTCGACGGGGTTAGCGTGGTTAAATAAATTTTTCTATCTATTTTTCTATCTATTTTTTCCGTGCTCAAATTGTTACGGCGAAAGTGGCGTTTTCAAACAATTTCGCTTCGCCGTAATGTGGACATTTTGTCTTTAAATAGGTACATGAAATAAGTAATATCGTTATCCACAAGTAAACACCGACCATAGATATCTTATATACACTACATAGTCTTTCTAATTATTCAGTAATTCAAAAATTGAAGCCGTGATTGCAGACTCAGGATATTCCCATGAAATGAGAAGACTCGTATGTTTTCTATTTCTTAAAGGACAATGGCAACAAAATTTTTTATTGTCTATATTAAAAGTGTTGCTTCATCTAACTATAAATATGATATTAATACCGTGTCAAACATTTTTGTTCAGGAGTTATATGCATGTTATATTTCACTGTTAGTTTATATATCGTCGGCCATCTTGGCTCGTATTTGCGAAAAATTATCTTTTGGGTAATATGACCCGTATGACGTAGATGGCAGGGTAGAATCAAAATAACAATATATTTTTGTATGGCGTGTATCGAGATTTAATACGTTTTCTCAAAAAATTAATGCTTTTGAGTCATTTTAATGGAAAATATTCACGAGAACCATGCAAGTAGGAGAAGTGTTATCATACCAATATGAACCAGAAGTAGGAGAAAAACAAGCAATATTTTAATTTTGGGATAGGTATAAATATAGGACCTCTATACATGCGTCTTGGACCTTTGGTTTGTGGTTTACTTATAATCATTTATTTAATGGATTTCTTTTATTTTCAACGTTGTATTGAATGTAGACCATGTCGTTAAATATTGTGTATTTAGTTGCACGCGTATAATGCGTGCCGCGTGCACTGTTTTGTGTCTTTTTATGTCAATCCATTGTAGAAATAGTATACCGCAATTGAAGCTTGGCAACGCTTCCCTTTTCAATTGTATTCTAAACGTTTCATTGCACTGTATTCGTTTTAAGAACTTTGGCGACTGTCCTTGTTCATACGCGTCTTCGGCAAAATGAAGTGAGCATATAATCTATAGACATCGTGATTCGTGCGCGCATGGCGACGATGGTATTAATGCTTTGCGTTTATAGACCTTATACAGAATTCAATCAACGCTTTTCTCCTATATTGCTGATCTACCGATTTGCCCTTTGGAAAATTGAAGAAACAGATTTCACTTGTGTGTTGGCTGTCACTATTACAACCGTAGACGGCAATGCATGTTTTGCAGTGCACCTTACGTTTTACATGAACAATCTAGATATTTTCGTTATTCAAGCCGTACTCAGAGCTGACTATATATATCTAATATTTGCAGTTTCGGTAATATATATATATTCCCACACGTGAATTTAGGGTATTTTACGTACTATTTAAAGCACGCGTAGGAGTGTTTTATCACATATAAAACACGACGCGTAGCGGAGTGTTTTATATGTGATAAAACACGACTACAAGTGCTTTAAATGGCTTAAAAAACGACTCATCTTATACGAGTTCATTGGCGAAGTAATTTTTAAAATAAACGTTGTCTAAACCAAGAAAATCAAAGCTAAAGTTTATGTAAATTAACATGATTTTATATCACATGTAAAACCACGACACGCTTATGATTTTTCTTTGTGTTTTGCTCCTGAATTATTAATGAGTTTTTTAAATAACAATGAAAATATTGATAATATTGGGAACTCTACACTACAGTACATGCATATATTTACCTATATAAAATGAGAACCAAGTAAAACTACGTGTAAATTAAAATACATCACAACATATAACCAGATTATAGTTATTTTACACTTATCTCTTGTCTGGGAAAATCTCATGCTGACCTTGAATGTCAATTTACTAATTTGCTAGCATAGCAATGTCGTTTGAAAGCCTGCTTAGTTTTAAAAACAATCAATAGTTGTGAAATCTGAAGCTAGAATTATCCACTGCAACATTGTTGCAGTTCCGCCAGTTAATTGGTTGAATTATTTTTGTATTAATAATAATAACAACACTTTGAAACACTAAATACTCAGTAGAATCTTTTATTTCAATGCAAATTATTTCTATATTTCTGCAACAGAGCATGCACATACATAAATGTATATGCTATGTATATACACACATTTGGAATATATGATATATGTAATTGGAACAGCAGAACTACCATAACCGGAGTCAATGTTTAAGCGCATTTTACAACGCAAATATACGCTTACTGTCGAAAACACAATCACAGATCATTGGTAGTAAGTTGCTACACATTATTGAACTATGAATACACGTTGCAACGTATCTGTATTTTTTTTGTAAACATTTTCTTCCAAATGTCAACGTTGTTACAGTGTAACTTATACTGTGGGATTTGTGTTTACCCTGCCATCTACGTCACGAAATGTATTCATGCATAAATTAGCATACGCGGAATTTTCCCAAGATGGCGGACGACTGTTAAAATTTGTTAAATATTTTTGCAAATTATCTGAACAACTAAATGCAACGAACAAACAAAAATATAAAATTAAGTATTCCATTAGTAAGCTTAATAAATGCAGACAATAAAAATATTTGTTGCCACTGTCCTTTAATTAAACAGTTCCGATCTCTGAACTTAAACATTAAGTTAAACCTATTCCAAATACATTTTCAAACTATTCAAATGATGAAAGTTATTAGTTGTTTTTTAAGCGTTTATTAGCGAGTGGGAAACTCCAATATGGCCGCCATCTATTCAAATGGGGGTAACCGCTGGAATATTCTTGGCTTCAATTTTACTAAAACTAAAGAGATGCGCTATCTAGTGTATATAAGATATCTATGACACCGACAGTCACCAACAGTAGCGTAGCCAGCCCGACGATGCAGTCCCGCTGGACTGTCAAAACAATCAATTTCTAAAGAAATGAATAATTATAATAATTTTGAATTTGCATAGCGGGATTAAAATGTCGGGCTGACTACGTCACTGGTCACCAATACCTATAAATTTATTGAGTCAAATAGGTATAGACCCATTGCACATGACGTGACAACGCCGGCGACGAGGCATCTGGATGACAAATTAGGAATCTATGCATAATATAACTTTTGTAAACAAAGCAAATTTTGTAAAACTTTATAATAATTTTGTATTAAAATGGTTAGTTTTTGCGCTGTATGTGGTTGTTGTACCCGATCAGATATTGTTAGGGAGCATCTGGAGGACACTCTAAGGATTTGTGACGTCAGTGCAAAGGGTCTATACGTTATTTACGAGGTATATCAATAGTATTTTCGTCCGCGACGTTTTCGTCCGCCGTGTTTTCGTCCGCCGCGTCGTCGTCCGCGTCTTCGTTCGTCTGGTGCCCGTTCGCAGGATAAGTTCTGTTTACTCTGAGTCAGGCATAGCGCGTAGTCCATCACGTGAAAAATGTAGTTTTGTTCGACGGCGCCATAGAATAACTAAGCTTGCAGTCCTGTCGCATAAATATCTTAGAAAAACAAAAGATATACATGTTCAAAGATTTTGGAGGCGAGTAGGGATGTGCCGGATCCGGACACCGGTATTCGATATCCGGTAAAATTTAGACGTCCGGCACTATCCGGTATAAATTTGCCGGATATTTACCGGATAGTACTGTAAGATATTTTGTTACAACCATGAAACGGAAAAGTTTCACAAATTGTAAAACACGAACAATTACTGAGCGTGCGCTGCATTACGACGAAATTACGACATATTTTTTTCGTGATGGTGATGTGAACTGCTCGTTCGCCAACAGCAGTGAATTTTATATACTGAATACAAGTAAACAATGTAAGGTGAATCATAAGATATGGCCTTGGTAAAGACAAATAGGTCAAAGAAACAAAAAACTCTTGAAGTTATTGTATTAAACACATTGCCACATTGGACTATAGCTAGTTAATTAAGCTATAAAAATGTTGTGTTTCTAATAAATTATTGTATGGGAGTATCTGGTTATTATTCGGTATCCGGTCATCATTTTCTCCTGACCGGTATCTGGTAGACTACTATCCAGTATCCGGCAAAACAGTATCCGGCACATCCCTAGAGGCGAAACCTGGATTTATTGACGAGTTTTCGGACACTCTCTATACTCAAAATATTTATTCTACAGTGCACTACCGTTGAAGACTGCAGTTTAGCTGTCTGAAACCTTGTAAAATAAATAAATATTTTGAACCAGAGAGCGTGCAAGAACTCATTTTTCGTTTCGGTCTATCGACCGGAGCTAAAACAAGAACCTAACCAGGAGCAGTTGCGAAACTATGCAACTGCAGGCTCTCGATCTCAGGCAGGAATCTAACCTGCAACCTCGTTCCCACCTGCGCCTTGCGATTCCGGTGCAGCGCTATAGCCCTAATCAACTGAGCTACAGAGGCCAGCTGTCGAGCTGTAACCGTAAGTTCATGTATAAATACTCAGGTGATGCCAATATAATATGGTGTATGTGTATTAGCAATTTATTTAGACCACTGCTTATTGCGTTATGAGTTTGATATGTCTAAAATTGTTTTATTGATTTCCCCCTCAAGTTTCAATCTGGCTAATACAATATAATACATTATATAATTTATTGAACTCTCCTCAACGGGGCTGTTCGGAGCCAGTTAAAGGTTAAAACACATACAAAAACTTATAAGCTATACTAACATGAAATTCTAACTATATGGATTTAAAATTGCCAAAGGCTAAATGCTACTATGCATATGATTTTCTAAAAGATATTTACGCAATTTGCATAGTTAATTTGAGTATATATCTGGTCACGTGTATTACATACCCACATCTTCGCCCCCGTGGCTTTCCGAGTACGTCCACATAAAAGCTTGCTGGTTGAAACCAGTTGCATTGTAATTGACTCCAGTAAGGTTCGCCCTCTCTGTGTTAGGTTTTAACCCGCCTGGACCATCAGAGTATGCCAAGGTAAGAGCTGGCTTGCCATCAGGTGGAATTGTCTTCTGGAAACCCAGGATGGGGTTGTTTCGAACAGGACTACCATACAAAAAGAATGAATGTGAGTGGTCGGTGGTCACTATCATTAGGGTATCCTCTGTTCAAACACGAGAAACGGTGATTTATTAAACGCACAATATGAAAAATTAGCCCTTCAAAATATTGGATAAGTATTAAATATAAGACAAAGGGAAATTTGCACTCAGATTACCAACGCAAGTGATAACTCGTGGCTCTTGTACTTTCGTAACTTAGGCCTGTTTTATACGTCGAATTTTGGTCGCGTCGAATGCAATTAAGACAATATAGATAATGAGATGATAAACCTCATTATAAAGCTTCATTATCTATTGTTTGAATTGCATTCGACGCGACCGACATTCGACGTATAAAACAGGCTAACCTGGTTCCAGAGGCTCTTTGCAAGACGAAAGAAACGGTACGACGGAAGCGAGAACGGAGAGCCTCTGGTCATATCGATTGCAAATCCCACTTCCACACTTGTTTATGTACAGAATTTGAATCTTGCATGTGATTGGCCATTTGTAAAAATATGTCAAACCGGTTTGGGAAATAAACATTACAGTAAGCTAATCATAACTATTATTGTAGCTTATACAGTAATGTTTATTTCCCAAACCGGTTTGACATATTTTTACAAATTTGCCAATCAGATGCGAGATTCAGATTCTGAACATAATCAAGTGTGGAAGTGGGATCTGCAATCGATATGACCAGAGGCTCTCCGTTAGTTTGACCTCAAAAAACTCATTAATAATTCATGAGGAAAAGACACTGAAAGGAAATCACTACCGTGTCGGTGGTTTTATATGTGATAAAATTATGATAATTTTATGATAATTTACACACTTTAGCTTTGATTTTTTCGAAACAATCGCAGTCCATGCTTTATCAGATATAAAACACTCGGCTGTGGTGTCGTGTCTTATATCTATCTATGCTTTATTACGCAGGATTAAACCCTTTTTAACTAAGGACTGTGCTCTTCGTTTCTATAACTCCTGTATTAATTCAAGTCTTATCTACTGCTCTGTAACTTGAGGAAACTGCTCAAAAACACTTTTACTTCGCATTCTTCGACTGCAAAAGCGTGCAGCACGTATTATTCTAGACGCTGACTTTTCTACTCCTTCTGTTCTTCTCTTTTCCCAGATTCGAATAATCCCAATTTTTGATCTTGTTAAATTTAGGAAGCTTCTCTTACTAATTAAAATTCTCACAAATCCCAGTGCTCCATCTTCATTTAAGCAAATGTTTAAATTCTTATCTTCTACTCGACAACGGGCTCTGACTAGAGCTTGCGCATATGACCTTCAACCCCCCTTCCCGCGTACTGACTCTGGTAAACGCAGAGGCCGCGGAAGCATTTCGAAAGTGGAGGGGCATTGACCGAAAGGGGCACTTTTGTATATGACCAGAATCAAACGATTTTATGACGTTCACGAGCCGAACGAAAATTTTTGAAAATATGGAGTCTCTCTAACGTCGGAAATGGACTTTACAGAGTCTTTACTACTGCGAAAAGGGCATTTTCTTTCCAGAAAAAGAGGGCGTTTATTCAAGAAATACTTTTTTCGTTTTTTAAATGGGGCATTTTAGCCCAGAAAAAAGGGCACTTTTTTCACTTTTAAGAAAAGTGGGGGGGCACATGCCCCCATTGCCCCCCGGTTCCGCGGCCCATGGGTAAACGAACATTTCTGTACAGTGCATGCTTCCATTCTTTTTAATTGCTTAGATAGCGATTGCAAGCAACTTGCTGCTTCGCCATCTTGCTCTTCATATACTAACGCCAAACAAAAAATTCGTAAAATCTTTCTTAACAAGCTTACCCTTACTAATCATATCGAAGATCTATTTTGTATAAATTGTAAATATTTACTAAATTGTAATTGTATTCATTATACTAATTATTTTTTTCTCAAATGTAAATAGTCGTAACCCTTAATACTTTTTATGCCTGTAAATATCAAAATAGTGCGAGGGCCGTATGTTAGATAACTTTTACGGTTAATACGTTTTCCCTCGTGAAATAAAGTCTCTATTCTATTCTATCTGATAAAGCGCTCCTGCTCGTGTTTTAAATAGTACTTAGTCAAATACTGTCATAACAAGAGTGAATAAAAAAGGTGACGGGTTTTGTAGACGGACATTTTTGCGTGTAATTTTGATGTACATTTATGAAATAGTACCGTAACGGTTGTTAATAAAAGACCTAGCCAGGAACAGCTGCAAAAAATGCAACCGATGCATCCCCTAGCAAGAATAGAACATGTGGCCCTGCGATTCCGGTGCAGCGCTCTAAGTCTATACATGTTGCATGAGGTCTAACAATAAGTTCATGTATATATACTAGGGTACTGCCATGTTAAAGTATGGGTATAATTATCAAGATTTACTGTATTGATAATTTCGAACGTGTTTAACAATTTACTCATTTTGTATAAATTCAATTTCCTCGTTTGTTCAAATTGGAAAATAATTCGATGTTGTGAATGGTAAATAACGATTATATGTGCTTACAATTTCGATACTTAACCCTTCTTGTTATTAATCGACATAGCAAAATAATTAATATTGATTTACATTCACATAGTCACTTGCAGTCAACGACTCGAATGGGTGTATATGTGTATCTGTGTATCTGTGTATACGTATCAGAGATGGAAGCTTGTATCAATAGTGGGGCATTTTCAGTTTCCTTTGGAAAAATGCGTGATCCATGCCCTCGCTACACATTTAGGCCCGTAGTCCTACTTAGGAATATATAGTTTATCATCTGCGTATACGTAATTGTGGAATGGTGAAGGGTAAGAATAGTTTATCATTGTATAGAGCAAAGAATGTTAATTATAAGATCTAATTTAATTTACTCCACCATCTCAATATTCGATGAAAATTAAAGAAGAAATGGTAATAATTTCACAATCATAATTTTGTAATCCGTGATGTGTTTAAAAATGCGCGCGCGAATTAAAACCAATAACCAAAATTACCGATATCTTATGGGAATTAAATTGTAACAGAATTATAACAAAAATATATACAGGGTGTCCCAAAAAACCCCAAACTATTGAAATAACGTATTGTTAATTAGACTGATTTGAATGACTCAACAATCTGCTGAAGCCACAAGTGCATAATTTTGTCCCCTATACTTAGCACTGCTTTTGGGTTGTGCAGGAGTCTGCAGTATTGCTTAACTCTAATTACGTGTATACCCATGTATACACATCTACTTACATATATATCCTTACAATCCCCTTTCGCCGCCTGATCGTTTCCCAATTACGTGACGGTGTATGACTGTAGAATGCTGCTGGGGTTGCGTGGGTTACACGCGTGTCCGTGACGATACCCGTGGACATTCCTATGCGTTCTGCGTAAGTTAAAATTGACAGAACCTCATTTCCCTTGGCACTCTCGCAGTTTTCAAACACCGCATTTTCATTCAGACCTAAAATTCCTGAAAATAATTTGTAGAAATAATCAGTGATCTATAATTGTCGTACGATTTGCAGTGAAACAAATCATCATTCGATTCAATACACTGTTTGGAACACCTATACTTCCCTGCTGCAACTTCCATCTCTCAATAAAGTCTAAACTCTGATTATTAAAAAAAATGGATGATTCCAGCTATACAGGGTGTATAAAAAAAAGTAAGACAATTTTGAAATTACTCTCAATTCCACAATTCTGTTCATGAAATGTAATTTTTGCTATATATGGATTGCTTGAGTTCTTAAATTATGGAAAATATAAAAAATTTTGAAAATAGTAAATTTTGCTATCCAGGGGGTGGTCAACTTTTGCTCTCCTAAAAGTGGCTTGCGCACGGAAATGACAAACGGTATTCTTTATTTGAGTTCATGTATGAAAAGTTCGCTATTTGTTGCATTTGTGATAAAATTTCGGCAGGATTTTACCGAGTACAAATCCTCCGAAAAGCCTATGAAAACGTTACATTTTTCTCTGTTGGTGCTGTTCTTGCTTCATTATGAATTCATTTTTACTCCCATGAGAGTTCCATGGAATTTCCATGGAATTTGTGTGATTTCAAGTTGTTTGTGCTGAAACGAATTTTCTCGTATAATACCCCCTACACTTTGAAATGGCGATGCCACAATTTACCCCACAGCAGAGAGCTTTTATTTCGAGTTGTTTGTGCTGAAACGAATTTTCTCGTATAATACCCCGTACACTTTGAAATGGCGATGCCACAATTTACCCCGCAGCAGAGAGCTTTTATGGTATCAGAGTTCCTCCGTAGCAACAACATAAACTTGGTTCGCCAAAGTTCACGAAAGAATATCCAGATGCATGTACGATGCCCTTCACGTGCGAATACGTGAAGGCATCGTACATCTGGATATTCGTTCGTGAAACTTTGGCGAACCAAGTTTATTTCATGAACAGAATTGTGGAATTGAGAGCAATTTCAAAATTGTCTTACTTTTTTTGATACACCCTGTAGACTAAATTTTGACCCAGGCAAGAAGAACAAAATCCATATTACGCGCGGGAAAAAGCACCACATTTGGGCCGAAAGTGGTGCATTTTTTCGTGCATAATACAAATTAATACAAATTTGCAAATTTCGTAGGGCTATATTTCCCTCATTTTACAACATTTCGCAACCAAACTTTGCAATTTTACTAATTTTAACGTGCTCTTAAATTTCTAGCTGTGGTGATGGATTTTGTTCTTCTTGCCGAGATCAAAATTTAGTCTACATGCAGCTAGAATCATCCATTGTGTTGCTGCATTAATTAGTCTTTGTTGGCTTCAGTGAGTTCAAAGATTCCGTTCTGGATTAATACGAGATTATATCCCCAAGCATGCACCAACCGACCTCGTAGCAAGAAGACAAAATATACTAGAACAAAAATTATTTAATGGACAGTTCTACATTTGGCTTTAAGTGGAACACATATAATGATTGCACAATTCAATACTTTGATATGCATAAATTTAATGCTTCCAGTCACATGCGAAGGGTTCCAATTCTACATCATGATATCAGGGCGTTTTGTATATACATAACTGGGGGGACGGGGGCTTTGGCGAGGGCAAAGCCCCCCAGCCCCCATGGTGGCCACCCCATTCAACCATTCGAGGTTTCTTTCCTCTAAAATATAAGCAAAACATTGGACGAAAAATGAAAGTTAGATGGGAGGTTTGATATTCTAGTAATTGAACCTTGCTTCAAACACTCATTAATAATTCATAAGCTTATTGGCTTATTAGCTTTAAACCTGATAAAACACTCCTAATTAGTATTCCTTATATAAAGCATACTAAATAAGGCAGTATCTATTGTAGTCGTGTCCTCGTTAATATTTTTATATAAAGAATACTAATAGGGCAGTATATCTATTGAATTTGTAGTCGTGTTTGAAGCCGTTTAATAAACTCGCAGGTAGTCGTGTTTTATTAGGTCTAAAGCCACTCGCGCTGCGCGCTCGGGGCTTTAAACCTAATAAAACACTCCTGCTCGTTTATTAAACAGTACTTTGTGAATCTTATGCCCTGTCTTTTATCTTCAAATAATGTCAAAGTGAAGTGCATCAACTTGAATTTTCCATCCGAGTCCATTAATTTTCCGCCTCGGTAAACAATCCTGTCTAAATTTCACAAACAATCCACTTCGTCGCCAGGGTATTTTGCCTCGACGGCTGTAGGGCGGCAGATATCAGATATGCGTATTTTTATATAAAGGGTTAAAAGTAATTATTATATATCAATACTAGTCAAAGTCGCATTTTCCTAGTGTTTTATCACAGGGGGTCCAACTAAGAGCTGTGTTATGAATATGAATAAAACATTAATTAAACGTAATATGAATGAAACATCATAACGTAATATATTTAAATTATTTCACTTACTTCTATCAATCATAAGAGCTTGCATTTGCAGTGAATAACTTCAAACAGGGCACTTATATATGCTCAGAAACATTGCTTCGAACGATTGTTCAAAATGGCGAATAAATTGATAAAACGAAAATATTGCATGACGTTCCAACGAAAATAACAGCAAGGATTGCGGGCGCGCGTGCGAAAAGGCGAGGGAAGAAATAAATAGAAGGGATGAAACAAATATCACGTGACTTTTTAAAATGTTTCTAGACTATCCGTTTAAGCTTTTTGTGGTATTTTTAGGGCTCAGTAGATGTTCTCTTACATGAACAAGCTCATAGTAATTACCAAAAAAGCACTGATCAATGTAATTTATATGATTTATAACTGCGGACATTCTTAGCCGTTTTCGCGAGATGTGTTCCATAAGTAGCCTGTTCTCGTGACGTATGACTAAATAATAATAAAACTAAATAATGTAAAAAAATCGTTGGTCGCTACATTTAAACATTTCATATTAGCCGGTATAGCTAAACATTGTTTATTTTCACTAATTAAGCGCGTAGGCGTTGTGAAGTTGGCAGGAGGCGTTTTGGAATTTTCCGAGAGAACAGGCTACATGACGAGCCGCACGTTTTGAAAACCAGCGGGATTTGCAAACTGAGTTTGCATTTTTCAGGAAGCGGGTGCAGCTTACCCACCAACAATTAACGCTATGCGATGTCATCAATCCAGGAGAAACTGCTCAAACACAGTGTGAGATCAAACATGTAATAAGTTTAATTTCAGTCCGAATATTAACCTACATATGTTATATGATATTTTAGGTACAGTTTAGTACAAATAAATGGCTTGATTGTTGACAGAGCTAACACTACAGGATACCGCTATATATACCGCTCCAGGTGTAGCTAATTCACAATGCTATTTTGGCTTAGATGCGCCAAAAGATGCTTCTGGTTTAGATGCGCAATGCGTTCTTTATAGGTATATGGTATAAATATCTCCTTACTAGTTTGTTTTCTCTTACGGATTGCAATAGGCCTACATTGGAAAAAGGTCGCGCAAGGAAGGGAAAATAGATTATATAATTCAGTACAAGATAATTTATTTTGAAAGGCCATATATTTGCGTTACGTATTTTGCTCCATAATTTTCAAGGGATAATTGTAATACAGACTCTCAATAGCTTCCACTGGTTAAGAAAAATGGAGCATCTTCATACTAGAAGGACTCCTAAAATGGAGCAAAGGCTGTATTTTGTGTTGCGCGCGCCGTGATTTATAGTGCAATATACTAATATTTAGTGTATACAAGGAATAACACAGACTCCTATTTAGTTTCCACTGGTTAAGAAAAGATGGAGCATCTTCATAACCTGCCAGCAAAAGATGGCACATCTTTCTGGCACAGAAGTTTCCACTGAAAGGACTCTTAATTATTCCGGCAGAGGCAAAGGCTATATTTTGCGTTGCGCCGTGTTTTATACTATAATATGTACTGTATACAAGGAATAACACAGACTCCTATTTAGCTTCCACTGGTTAAGAAAAGATGGAGCATCTTCATAACCTGCCAGCAAAAGATGGCACATCTTTCTGGCACAGGAGTTTCCACTGAAAGGACTCTTAATTATTCCGGCAGAGGCAAAGGCTATATTTTGCGTTGCGCCGTGTTTTATACTATAATATGTACTGTATACAAGGAATAACACAGACTCCTATTTAGCTTCCACTGGTTAAGAAAAGATGGAGCATCTTCATAACCTGCCAGCAAAAGATGGCACATCTTTCTGGCACAGGAGTTTCCACTAAAAGGACTCTTAATTATTCCGGCAGAGGCAAAGCCAAAGGCTATATTTTGCATTGCGCCGTGTTTTATAGTATAATATGTACTGTATACAAGGAATAACAGAGACTCCTATTTAGCTTCCACTGGTTAAGAAAAGATGGAGCATCTTCATAACCTGCCAGCAAAAGATGGCACATCTTTCTGGCACAGGAGTTTCCACTAAAAGGACTCTTAATTATTCCGGCAGAGACAAAGGATTTTGCGTTGCGCCGTGATTTTAATAATATAGTATGATATGTACTGAATGCAGAGAAAAATACAGACTCCTCTTTAGCTTTCACTGGTTAAGAAAAGATGGAACATCTTCATAACCTGTTTTTTTAAGTTAATAGGTAATGAGAACCATACTTGTGTCCTAGTAATAATTTTATGCCACAATAATCCCTAAATGTTAGATCAAAAAGTTTGTGTGAAATATGATAGTGTGCATGATGGCCTCGTACGGTTGTTGACACAATGTATCACTTATAATGCTTGTGAAAATTATGTTGTATTTGATGAAACTGAGGATAAAAGATAAAAAAAACAACTTGTATTTGTATAAACATGAACCTAAGGAATATAAGTACAGGTGTAGATTTATGAAACACAAAATTGGAGATGTATGTGTAAATTGTAAAGGTAAAATATATCCTGTGGCTGTGGTTTAAAATATATATTTGATCAGACCCAAAGAGTACGATCGCGCTGCACTAAAAAGCTTGTATGGAGGCATGTAAAACATATAAAGCGAGAGAAATAGATAGTCATGTGTGTAAAATACAGTATCCCTGTACGCGGCGTTTCGTCCTTCATGGTCTGCTGGACTCGTCAGCAGGGAGTGTTGGCACATTTGTAAGGATAGAATACAGATTTGGATTACAGAGTCAATAAACATGAAAATAGCAATATATGTGTATGACTATTGTAAAATAAATGTAAAGTAAAAAGCGTCTTACCAAATTCGCTGATATTTTTTGTCAACCAACACGTTGGGCCATGGTTGTAATTACTAAGGAATGTAGTATAACTATAGCCTTTATATAGACGACAGATAAAGGCATACCAGTAGGCGTACCAGTGGGCATACCAGTTTTTTAGAGCATCAAGCTTGTCTGAGTAAACGCGTTTGTACGCCATGGTCGCTTGAGATCGTTACGACAGATAAAGGCATACCAGTAGGCGTACCAGTGGGCATACCAGTTTTTTAGAGCATCAAGCTTGTCTGAGTAAACGCGTTTGTACGCCATGGTCGCTTGACATGCTGTTCGCTTCAGACATTTGGCGCAATTGAATTTGGCGCCCGAAATTTTGTAAACTTATATTCTGTAGTTCTAATATGCAGTAATTGGTGATGACAAGTCGCTTCATAAACTAGATTAGTTAATATTTTTCAATGATTAAACTACATCTCATTACTTGGCATTAAATTACATGCAAGGGAAAATAATCCAGGCCATTAATTGGAAACAAATGTCAACACCTTTCACACTTTTCCCATTAATGCTGCCTTAAGCAACACCTAAAAGTTAATCCTGTTTAAACCCGTGCGGCTCGTCATGTATGGAACACATCACACGATCGCATTACCGGTGTTTCATCCCTTCTATTAATATCTATTACCCTCGCCTTCCGCTCGCGTTCGTTGGAACGTCATGTAATATTTTCGTTTTGTCAATTTTTTCGCCATATTTGAACAATCGTTCGAAGCAATGTTTCTGAGCGTATATAAGCGCCCTGTTTGAAGCTATTCACTGCAAATGCAAGCTCTTATGATTTATACAAGTAAGTGCAATAATTTAAATATATGTATATATAATGTTTTATTCATATTCATAACACAGCTCTTAGTTGGACCCCCTGTGGTTTTATTGGTTGAGAGCATATCACGTGAGAGTGACGAAATTAGACTGTTTCCCTCGCAACAGCGCGAGAGGGAAACAAGACGTTATCGACCGGCGAATAACAAAAAAAATCACGTGCGTCATCACGTGAAGATGCGACTTTTGGACATGCCTAGTTATTAAAACTTTCGCTTTAACTGAACTGCAGTGCTTAATTTAACGTTTTGACAATAAAATATTTCATGTATTTACGTTCATTTGTTCTTTAATTTGTTGTTTCTTTGACTATTAATATATAATAAAACACTTATTTACTGAGACCTCGGGAAAGCAGTGTGTTTTGTGGACCCTCGACTGTCGATGTTTCCCTCGGCTTCGCCTCGGGAAACATCGACGGTTTCGGGTCCACAAAACACACTGTTTCCCTCGGTCTCAGTAAATAAGTGATAATTGGTTTACACTGTTGTGGCGTGAGCCCCCTGGTGTCACTGCTATGCCCATATTTATTTTCTAGATGTCTATTTGTTGTTGTGTTAGTGTTTTTAGCAAGGTTTAATAAATAAATAAATATCAAAACACGCAGAAATTGTGGGTGTCATGTGACCAGGCGATCCTAAACGCCTGCTACGCAGGCTAAATCAGAATAGGTTTATATTTCGCTGGCCTCAAAGTGACAACAAACCAACGGTTTTACTAACACTAACCCTATTCCAAACACCAACTCTAACCCCAACCGTAATCCTTACCCTAACCCTAACCCTAACCCTACTTCAAGTTTGTTTCTAAACCAATCTTAAACCAATCTTGAAGAAAAATTTTTTGACGAAATGTCATTGTGAGCAAAATCATGCTGCAGATCAGAGGAGGTACGACAAGCAATTAGCGAGTTGTCACGTGAGCTCTCGACCAATGAGATCGCTCTATTTTCCATCGTGTTATCTGCAGAATTTGGACAGAAAAATTTGCATTCGACAGAAAATAAATCGGAAAAAAATATTAATATTAAAATTTTCTTGCAAAATTTCAAGTGTAGTAGTTCTACTGCAAAAGATCTGGTGATATCTGCAGAAATCTCTGAGGTAAATGTTATTTTCAATGTTATTTTGATGTTTGAAGTTAGTCGACTCCCCGCGACGCGTTGACTCAAGTCTAAATATGTTTACAATGTTTAAAATGAAATATCTAGAATTCCCATGGTTCGATTTTCTTCATTTTTGGTAGTCGTCAAGACAAAAGTATAAGCTTTAAATCTGCTGGAATGATCCCGGTGATCCCCCGGCAGTTTTCGAGATATTGACCGTTGAAGTGACTACTGTCAACTCGACGTTCGCTAAAATGGCGTCTAATATCTTGGAAAGAAAATGCGCCATCAAAGATGATATTTTCAATGAATTTTTGTTAAAGTGTTAAAATATTATTTAGAAGACTTAGGAGTTGTTTTAATATTTTTTTAGAATTTATATCTGTGCGATTTTCAAAGTTTTGTTGTCTTTGGCCGACGCGACTGGATCGTGTACGTATTTCAAGACGAGCTGATCGCCTGATACTGGGGTTTTTGTGGCAAATCGAGCTGTGGAATCCTCAGCATGGACAAATCAGTGTCATAACAGCCCATTTCAAGCCAGCAGAGAGCTTCACTTGTTTTAAAGCAATAAAATAAGTTTTTATGTATCATATAACAAATTAAGTGGCATGTTTATATTGTGGGATCTTTCCCTGCTGGCAGTGGTTTCTGAGCTGAAGTGGGATCTCTGATCAATTTAATAAATATTATATAAATAGACATCTTCTTGTTTTATTGTTGCATTAATTTTAATCTGAAAAAATACTCACAAAGTAGGTCAAGTGTATGAATAAATATTCATTTATTTACTAAAGTACATTTTTTACAGTTATTTATGTACTTAGTCTTATTTGCATGAGTGTACATGACAGATTGGTTTAATTAGATATACCCAGTTATCATTCATAACCTATGGTTTGTTTAAAAAATGCTGGAAAAAACTAAAAAAGTTAGCCAATTGAAATAAATGCACTAATAACTTGCTAAACATAGCTTGGTAGTTGCTATTTATTATATAAAAAACATCTGTCAACATACACTCATCTTTTTCCTACCACTCGAATCTCCACTCACCAGGGGCCGGTTGTTCAAAGCTGGGTTAGTTTAACCCATGGTTAACCTAAAAATTATTCGAAGCAAACTTCCTGACAGCTTTTCAATAAATTTGGAAATATTCCTTCAGAGATCTTGTCTGGATCGATAGGAGTTTACTTCTCTGAAGTTGTGAAATACACAGATCTATGTGTAGAAGTACACAAACTAAAACAGCAGGTTAAATTTTAACCCAGGGTTAGCGCTAACCCACCTTTGAACAATCGGCCCCAGGTGTCTTCATGAAAATTTTTGGATAAAATTAAAAAGTCAACCCTATACTTGATACACTGAACATACTAGACATCCACGACATCTCCTGCAGCAATTAGTGGATGCAAATACTTGCATAGTTCAGAAGCAATATAACCAACATGTGTCCATACAGTTCCATAGTCTAGATCAATAGGCAATTGCAGCTTTTAATTTATGCATGCAGGGGGTGATGGGAAGTAAGGTATCATATTGCTGATTATGCTGAAAAATTTTAATAAACTGCCTAAACAACCAAAATATTTCAATATTTACAATAGCTACCACTCCATGTTTACATGGCCACCATTTCTATTTTTTCAGCATTATCAGCAATATGATACCTTACTTCCCATCACCCCCTACATGCATACCTAAAAGCTGGAATTGACCATTGCACTTGGGTCCCCTGGATTCAATGGTGCTGGCCGTATTCTTACATTGAATTCACTGTTTTATCTTGTTTGTGAAGAGCGAGGTATTATGCCTTAATTTTCCAAATGATGTCAGTAGTTTTTCTCATGAGCAGCACCGATGCACTTGAATGGTAGAGTGGGCGATTTCTTCCTCCCCATCACTTTCGTCTTCATCACTTAACTTGTCATCACTTTCTGCCCTATCACCTTGATCACCTCTTTCATTATCATATACATCTTGAACAGGTTCAAGACCAGCCAACCACTCAAGTAAATCTCTTTCTACAAAATCATATTAAACAAGGAAATTATTATTTGATACATTGTCATCTCTAAAATTAGCAAAAATATACGAACAGCAATATTTAGATGAAAATTTTAAAAAATATTAAATTACAGTTTGCACATTTAAACAACCACCCACAACTAGATACAAACAGGCATCACACTCAGCAAAAATTTATAAAACCATACAAATAACTGAATAACAATATACCTTCAGACTCATCTGAGAACCAATGTTCATCATCTGAATGTTCATCATCAATTCTATTCGCTGTCAATATATGATCCACATCGAAATCCAAAATCAAAAGCATATGCTGGGTGTTTTCGTTAGCACACTCATCAGGAGTAGGGTTAAACTAAAGGGTTAAATTATTAGAAATATTACGCCACCATAAATATTTGTACAGTGTATTTATATTAAAAATTACAGTACAATATTGAAAACAGCAAAGCGGAAATTTGACCAAATAACAAGTCAACTGTATTAAATGCATTGTAATATACTAACCTTAAATACTGCGCTTGTTTTCACGTTGATGATACACAGATATTTAACGCCATCCAACTTAGAAAGAAGGGCCTCGCTATTTGGAATATAAACACAATTTCTTCGCTTTGACAGACGGATTATTTATAAAGCTAAAATAATAGCACGTCCCATGCAATTTAATATAAGGTAAACTTGGTATAGTAAAACTCAAGTCATAATGAGGATCGCAACAATACAGCAATAACATGCTATTTTCACGACGTTTTGCAGCCTGACAATCTTGTATTTCGAATGCTTCCATATTTGTTTACTCAGAGAGATGTTCACTCTACGATAGTCAAAGAGTCATTGAAGCCACGCCTGGAATTAGGCACTCGAACCCATGATGCTTTGCGGCCTGCTTGTCGAACCTCCTCTGGCTGCAGATGTAATTTGACCTTTAGAATCGATTTCCGACGTTTCCCGAGCGCTATGGAAACACGCGTGTTTTGGCGAATCTAAATCCTATTTCCGGTCAAAAAAATATCCCCGCTGAGTTCACTAATATCGCAACAGATTGAAATATCGAAATAAAAGACAAAAAACTGAGACTACAAGCTTCAAAATAACACTGTAAATAGTGTTTTTGATTGTGAATCGAACAAGACTACAACAAAAAAGATATGTTCGAAGGGGCCGAAGTTGTATACGGCGAAAGGTATCAGGTATGGCTTTAGTGATACAAATTGTTTACATTTTTAGAACAAATATGTAATTTGTTAGCCTGCGTAGCGGCTCTCAGAGAAAGTAGAGCCTGCACGAAACCCCATGCTTTGCCGTATTTGTTCGTTCTCTCAGAGGACGAGAAATCTGATTGGTTCAAAATGAAAAAATATGCTAATTTATGCTAAAACTCATACAAACACGGCGGATGTATTATTGAGAGGCGTTTCTTTGAGTTTTGCATTCAAAAGAGCTTAAAGGTCACGATTTACGGTTGAACATTAAAGGTATTCACGAACTTGGTTCAGCTCTAGAGATATTGACTGTGGTGTCTTCGTTGGATTGCTGTCTGTTAGCAGCGCCTCTTTCACAAGTCACAAGCGTATTCGTTTTCATAAATTCATCGACGACAAATAGATTTTTTCTTCATGAGTTTGTAGCTAATAATTTTGTGCCAGGACTGAGAGAATTGCTATAAAAGCTTATGTCTTATGAGCAGAGCTTGCTCTCTGTGAAGTGATGGCTTTAAACACTTTAATATTCTCTTATCAGCATCGCTAGAAACTTTAACATTTAATACATCACGGTTGACCTCTGTCGAAACTATAAATTATATTTGTACGTGTGCGAGAAAGCTACGAAATATCGTAGATACGGACTGCAAACTACTTGTGACAACGATGGAGATTGCCCTAGGCTTAGCGCTATTCCCACAGACTTCAATTTTCTTTAGCCGCCATCCGTATATTACAGTATTTCGTTTTGAAATGTGCGAACATACATCAATCTATATTTAGGAGAGGGAAAACAAGCTATATTCTTACATTTATAACATATACATAGCATTGTAATTCCCAAATTTTGTGACTGCGTACGATGGCCGAGAAGGGACTTCTGAGTTTCCGAGATTCAACGTTTCTCAGTGGGATTTGGAGTTTGGGAAATATCCCTTCTAAAGGCAGTGGTACTTTGATATTTTGAGGAGATCAATAATATAATATATAGCCTAATAATAAATAAGTACCAAGCGTTCATTTTAGCTAAACTTGGAAAATATGATAATAGCCCAATAAGAATACGGTAAGTGCAAAATAGCGGTCTTACATATACTTAATTAGACCGTAATATGGTATCTTGGTATCACATGGTAAGCGTTGGTAAACGTTGATTGTAAAAAAATATTAGTAAAGAAATTAAGGAACTGCATGTGATTAGCCCTTTATTGAAGCTTAGGTGGATTTTTAAAATATTAAGAACATGCCAACATGTCCAATAAATTGTCCAATAATGATGTTATACTGAATTTGTCTTTTATCGCATGCAGGTATCGCATTTTCTTAGCATTTTTTATCTCAGATATACGGAATCTCCGAAACACGGAAACTCGGAATCTCCGAAACTCGGAAACTCGGAATCTCCGAAATACGGAACCTCAGAAACTCGGAATCTCCGAAACTGTACGCATATAGGCGTACGGGACGGGAAAAAATTAGGGGGGCGGAAAGAAATTTGCCCGACATTTTCGGATTGTGCCCGACCAGTGCTGAAAAATTTTTTTTCGGGAACAATTATTTTTGGCAACCTCTTCCCCCCCCCGTCGCCAAAAAAATTTCGGTCAGTGCATACCATTTTAGGGGTCCAAAAATTTTTCGGACATACTAAAATTTTTCCGGAACATCAAACAAATTTTCCCCAAAATCACAAAATTGACATAATTTCCCGCAAAATTGACAGAATTTGTCCCATTTAATTTTATAATAACCCAATATTGCCCGACTGTGAAGCGAATATTGCCCAACTGGCTTTGTTTGCCCAACAAACTGGGGTTATTATTAAGAGAGATTTTAT